GACCCACAGAGTGAGTTTTTCTCCCAGCACAGATGTCAAGGGAGGATGCTCACCCCGATGTAACGGGGAGCAATCCTGTCCCCAGCACAGGACATGCCTGTGTGCCCTGGGAGTGCCACCACGGTTCCACGGCTCTACAGCATTCTCTGCCTCTGCCCAACCCTCCCAGATGGACCCACAGAGTGAGTTTTCCTGCCAGCATGGAGCATCCTCCCCTGGCATCACCGTGATGTAACCGGGAGCAATCCTGCCGCCAGCACAGGTGTGCCCTGGGAGTGCCACCACATTCCATGGCTCTACAGCACATCTGGGGGTGCTGAGTGCTGGGAAGTGCCCAGCAAGGAAAGCCGGCAGGTCAGCCCCAAGGTGCTGGAGCAGCTGAGGAGCTGCAGGGCACCGCCATCCCTCACCCAGGCAGTTGTGGCCGTCGTGTGCCAGGCGGAAGCCGTCGTAGCAGGTGCAGCGGTAGTTGCCGGGGATGTTGACGCACTCGTGCACGCAGCCAGCGTTGTCCTCCCGCTCACACTCGTCAACATCTGCAGGGGAGAAGGGTGGGAGAGCTGCAGGGCTGCCCCGAGTGCTGCCCACCATGGGTGCTGCTCCCCTTCTCCAGCATCTTTGCCACCCAGCTGGTAATGTGCCCCGGGATGTTCTGCTCTCTCTGCCTATTCCAGCAGGTCCTCAGCTCCATTATCACCTGCAGCATCTCTCCAGAGCCTACAGTCATCCCCATTCTCCCCAGCGTGGATGCTGGAGCCCAGCTAGCCCAGTGTCCCACAGCTTTAGCCTGATGCAGAGTGCTGGAAACCTCCTGGGATTTCCCAGGGTGCTGCCAGAGCAGCCCCGTCTCCATGGCAAAGCCCTGCAGTGCCTGGAGCGCTTTAATCCCTCTGCTATTTGTACTCGGCCCATCCTGACCCTGAACCTGCTCCCAGCTGGGAATTTTCCCCTGCCCCAATCCTGCTTTCCTGCTGCTGCTGCCCCAAGGACCCCATTTTCTTTCCATTCCCTATTCAGTTGTTTTTATATATAGATATATGTCTATACCTATATCAACATCTAGATTTACACCTATATCTACATCTAAATTGATTTCTACACCATCTATATCTCTGTTTCTATGTCTTATTTTTAAGTTTGTGTTTTAGCTGCTAACACAGTTCTGCAGCCTCAGGGTCAGAAATCCTGCAGGAAAATAAGCCCAGCTTTGTTTAAAACAAGCTCCACGTGACCTTTCATGGGCAGCCCCAACCATATCAGGACAATGGCTGCCACCATCACCAGCAAGGACACTCAGAGTCCTCTCCGTCCCCATGCACTGTCAACAGGACAGGAGTTTGGGGCAGAAAAAGGGAATAAAAGGTTTGAAATGGGTCAGGGTGAACAAGTGGCTTTTTTGCATGGGTTGATGAGCCACTGGTGGCCTCTGACGTGCTGGGGCTGTCACTCAGCAGGACTCTGGCCCTGCCAGGGCTGTGTCCCTACCTTTGCAGTGCTTCCCATCCCCGGTGTAGCCGGACTTGCAGATGCACTTGTAGGACTTGGGGGTGTTCTGGCAGATGGCATCGATGTGGCAGCTGTCAGTGCCCTCCACGCACTCGTCAACATCTGCAAGAGAACACGTGAGGGAGCAAAGGGGAGAGCCCAGGACCTCTACCCGTGTCCCTACAGGAGCCACCACCCCAGGTGATGGATCCCAGCAGCCTCTGGCTCCCCAAGCAGCCCTGAGGATGGGCTCTGGACATGGTGAATCACTGGGTCCCCTCCCAAACAGCACAACCTGTGTCTCCTCTCGGACACGTCACCCTGAGACTCCCTGGCCCTTTCATGTGCCTGATGATAGGAAATGCTGCTCCAGCACTCCCAGTCCAGGCTGGAGCCAGCCCAGGCAGAGGTAAAAGTCTCTGTCTCCAATTAGCTGTTTCCTGAGCCGACCAGGCACCCAAATAATCGTCATCACTTTCTATTCTTAGGCGCCAAGGAATGTGCACGAATTAGCAGGGACCACACTAAATAAACGTGGGAGCCAGGAGTGAGAAGCAGGAGGGAGAACTGGGAAAAACATCACGGCTTCTGTGGGGACATGGACAAAATTTGCATTGTCCCCATCCCCCTTTTCCCCTCAACCCCCCTCTCTGGGATGCAGTGCTGTGGTACCCAGAACATCACATCCAGAGCTCCACGTGCTGGCAGTGGCCTCAGGCAGCAATGCCCAAGGGTTTGCTGTGACCGGAGGCCGTGGGAGGGGAGGTTTTAATGGTGTTTGGGAAATGGAGAAGCCTCAAGCACAAGGAGTGGAGTTTTGTGAGCAAAAGGCTGTTGAGCTGGCTCTTAGTGCTCTGGCAGTCAGGGAGATGTGGTGCCCTGAAGTGGGCACATCCCCTCGGTGGCTGCCAATGCCTGCAGATCAGGTGCGGAGGGGCACGTGGGGCTGAGCATCACCCACAGCCCCGCAGGTATGGGCAGGGCTCCAAGAGCAGCCCAGGCTCCAGCTCCACGGGGGGAGCACCAGCTCTGCTCCTGCAAGGATTTGCCTCCACCTCTAGGAAGCTTCTCACTGGGGAAGGGGGACCTGAGAGTCCCTCCAGCTCCCCTGTCCCCCCATCAGGAGTAGCGAGAGGCTTCAAAGCTCTCAGCTGCCTTTAAAGGACTGTTATCAGCAGCCCCAAGAACAGAAGTTCTCCAGGAGCTCCCCAGAGCCCCAAACCATCCCTGCAGGCGGCGGCAGGGCAGGGATCCCCACAGCCCCGTGGGAGCAGCAGCCCCAGTATGTGCTGGGAGATGAGATGTGACTCTTGGAGATGTGACTGAATCCAGGAGATGTGACTGACTCTGGAGATGAGATGTGACTGACTCCAGGGATGTGACTGACTCTGGGGATGTGACTCACCCGGCCGGCCGGGAGGAGCGGAGCTTTGTCTCCGCATTGGGGAGGCGGCACGTGCCTGCGCATTGTATAAATATTTACAGCCCGCATTCATATTTGTTATTTGACATTAGCCATGGCCCGCGGCCACCATGGCCTCCCTTGGGCCATTAATCACCGGCTGCAGGCTGACCCACCACGGTGGGGATGATGCAGGGATTGCACGGGGACCAGAGCCCTGCTCCAGGCTGGCACCTACAGCAGCCATGGCACTGGGCATGGTGCCACTGTGCCAGCACCCAGCATCAACCCCTGCCTGTGCCAGGGCACCCAAGGGCCATTTGTCCCTTTGGGGGCTGTTCAGCATCCCAGTGACTTTGCCTCAGGCTCCTGCATCCCTCCCTGGGCTCCCAGAGGGGCGTTGGGAAGTTTGGCACTAGAGCAGGGCGATGTGGGCATGGGAACTCAGCAGCAGCAAAGCTGATGCTGACCCAAAGGTCTCCTGAGTCTGCAGATCCTGGTTCTGGCCCTGCATGGTTGGGAGTTCCCCTTCAGGTGTTCCCCCAAAGTTATAAATCCATTGTGATGCTTCGAGTCATGGTGCCAGGGTGAGTTGTCGGGTCTGGCACCCCGGGCACCCAGCCTGGCACACCCTGGGTGGGAACCAGCACCCAAACAGTTCAGACCATCCATCAAACCCCATCTCCTTTCCCTAAAAACACTGAGAACATGAAGCATCCACCAGGCATAAATCACATCATTGAAACTTTCCCAGCCTTTTGCCAGGAATCTCACTTTTGGGGGAATTTTATTTCCTATTTATTTTTCCTTCTGCACTCTCAAACTCAAGACCACGGACAACAGGCATGAGGCACTGAATGCACCTCTGGCCCTCTCCCACTCACACATGTAGAGCATCCTTTTTTTCCTATCTTTTTTCTTATTCTGTAACTTCAAAAGTTGTCTAACTTTGGAAAGATTACACAGTAGTAAAAGTACAAAAGAAAACATTATCAGTTTTCCACTGCAATTTTTCCAAAGCTAGAGTCATTCTGAAAGGTTACAGGATTCTAAAAAAAAAAAGAAAAAAAAGAAAAAGCCAAAAAAGTGTGTTTGTGGGAAGAGTGAATAAATACCCTCCTGGGCACTCCAGGAGCCATCCCGGGATTGGCAAAGATCCCAATTTTAGAAAGCTGAAATTTTGGGTGTTCAGTATCCTTCAGAAATGATGTAGTGAATTAAAGTAAAACCTTCTGAAAAACTCAGTTTTTAGCATTTTCGTCAGCACAAGCAGCATTTTCCCATGAAAGGGAAGGTTTTCTCTCAGGCCAGCCCATTTTTCCTGCAGGAGAATTCTCTCCATCCAAAAAGCTGCCTGTGGCCTCACTGGTGCAGGTGCTCTGAGTTGCTGCCACCATGTGAGAGGGTTCATCTCCAAGACAAGTGAAGATTAAAAAAAAAAAAAAAATTAAATAAAAAATCCTTACTGATGCTCCTATTTGCTCTCAGCAGTTCCTCACCGGGGTGTGCCCTGCTTGTCCCCCTGCTCCAGAGCAGCTGCTCCATTCAAGGTCCCAAACCCAGGTGGGTTTTTTGGAGAGTTTGCCAGACCTGTACCTCTACACCCCCTCCATTTCTCCCTTCCACAAACAACCAAAATTTTGGCATGATTTTCACCCTAAACCGCCTGAAACGAGCCCAAAGCGGGCACTGCAGATGGACACACCATGCCCCAAACCCCCGGCACGGGGAATTCTGCACCCGGGTGGGAATTTGGTTGGGATGGAGATGCTGAGTGTGGCCGGGAATCACAGCCCCACCTCGCTGGGGCCGGGCAGGGCTCCTCGGAGGGCACAGCATCCCTGGCACTGCCCGCCCGGGCTGCGCCAAGGGCAGGAGGTTGCGGCGCTCGCCCCGCGCCTCGGGCCGTGTTTTTTATTCCGTTGTGGGTGGGATTTTCCAGCGCTGGCTGTTGGGCCCCGTTCCGCTCCAGCTGCAGCTTTATTCTCCATTTCAAAGGCAGCGCAGGCAGACGGTTTCAACGCCACTGCCATTTCGGGCGTGCCAAAAGCGGGGGGACCGCCACCTCCCCGGGACCCCCGAGGGCTCTGACCCAGGGGAGGCACGGCAGAGCCCCCTGTGCCCTGCACAGCTCGTACATTTTAGAGCCTGGATTGAGGCTCTTTCCTCACTTCCTTATTTTGTTTAAAAAAAATAATAATAATAAAAGATGGTTTTAGCCCTAGGCTAAAAAGTCCTAATAAATTTGAGGAGGGGGGTGAGACAGGACAGCAAAAATTGGCCTGAAAAATCCTAAACAAACAAACCCACCATCCTTTTCCCCCTCTCCTACAAGTGCTTCAGCTTTTTCTACAAATTAATTTTATTCTTTGTTTTTATATAGGCATATATATTAACAGCCTGTCTGTATGGGGATGTGTGTGTAGCTGTTGGCAGACATGCGGAGTTTCCACTCGGCCTTAATGCCAAATTAAAGCTTTATAACTTCAGTAGCTCCTTTTACCAGGGTATTAATAACCACCTCAGACACTGTGGTGCAGTTTATTAATCATTTGTTCGTCCAGGGAGCCTGCAGGGGTGACTCGTGCTGCACCACAGGCTCAGGGCATGGCCACGGGCAGTGGCAGCCCCTGGGAGGGGATTTGGGCCAGGAGAGGGGAGCAGGATGCTCTGCAGGGCAGCTTTCTGTAAACTGGCTAAAGAAGTGTCACCTGTGCTCAGAGATGCTGGCTCGGGTGCTGGGTGATGCCCTGCTGCCAGGACGGGGTGCCAGTGGGCACTGGGCAGGTGGCTGTGCTCAGGATGGCTCAGAGGGGGTGTCTGCATCTCACCATGCAGTGGAGACCCCCAAACCAGCCCTGTACCTTGCATATCCACCCAGCTTTCCCAAAAGCAGGTGGGACACAGGAGGTGCAGCCCCAGCACTCGGCCCTGTGCAAGGATGGAGTACAGGAGGAGGAACCACAAGTCAGAGAGAGGACCTGGGGCCATTCCCAGCCTGGGACCCTCCTGTCCAATGCCCAGACCCTGCCCTATAACCCCCACCATGGGTTGTGCTTCCCCAAAGCTCTTAATGACCCAGAAAAGGGCTTTTTTATCCCCCTCACTTATGTTTCCCACTCCCTTGAGGGCAGGGTCCTGAGCTGTCCATCCTCTGCAGCAGCCCAGGTCATCCTGATGGATTCCCCACCATTCCCTGGGTAGGAAATGCTCCCTCCACTTCCATCCACCTCCTTGTGCCAGCCCTGGTCACTTCAGCCCAATTCCATCAAACCCCACAGAGGGTTTGGTGCCCCACACCAGCAGCCTGCTCATCTCCCCATGGAATTGTCACTGCTGTTGTTGTTCCTTTGGCTTATTGGACTGACCCGGCCTTGCCTTAAGAAATGTGTTTGTTTTTTGCTCCGGGAGCAACAATCTCAAGATCTACAGCAGGGACACAGCCTCTCCAAAACACAGCCAGGCATCCTCCAGGGCTGCCAGACAGAGCAAACTTTATCTGCCATCCCGGGCTTCTCCTAAAGCCTCTCAGGGGACTTAGAATTTTGAAAGTGAAGGCTAAGGTCAATCATGCATGTTATTTTCCTAAAGTACTCTGGTGTAGCTGTCTGCAAAGGAAAAAAAAGAATCTATATAAAAATAAAAGATAAGAACCCCCAAACTCCTGAGCAGTTTGGAGAGAGCAATACATCGGCACTGGAAGACTCAAGGTGTCTGAATATTTATACTCCAGTTGGCAGTTACAAAAAAACTCTTCTTCCCTCCTTCCTACCCACCCCCTCCCCTTTTTTAATCTCAGTACAGGCATGTTAGACGTCCTCAGTCAAAGATCTCCTTTGAACTGTGCATGTGAAATGTTTACAGTTTTACATTTCATATTTCAGCGGGGTGGAGGGGACAGGCACAACAGTCACACACTGTGAATGCTGGAGAGGTAGGAAGGCAGAGGCCAAGGGGGAGGAGGTTTGCCTGCAATGGGAGGGGAACCAAACAGCATCTCCACGCTGCAACTGGAAAATTTTAAGACTCCTTGAAAAAAATACAGAAAAATAATCGGTGGTGGTGTGTAGGGTTTGCAGGTGCATTGCAGCGCAGCAGCCCCTCATGTGGGACAGGGCCCAGGAGGGCTGGAGTCAACCATCAACCACCCAGGGCCCAGTGGGCTGGGCTGAGGCTGCCATCCCAGCCAGGACCCTGAACTGGGCTGCTGGAATGCCAACGGGGTGCTGGGATCCCCAGGGAGACGCTGCCTCTCCCTGCTGGCCCCGCGGCGCAGCATCAACTGAGGGGATGTGCAATTTTAGCTGCAGGCAAAGTGGTAAATGCTGGGATGTGCTCCCAGAGATGAGGGAACTGGCACTGCCCGAGGAGGGCACAGAGCTGCCAGTCCCTGGGAGCATGTCCGTCTGTCCTGCCAGCATGCAGGGAGGGACGGAGGCGGGCAGGCAGCAGGTAAGGGCACTGCTCCACTGAGAGCAGGAGCTCAGGACAAAGCCTCCTGTCTGGAAGGCTGAGATGGACTGACAGACAAGAACCTGGAACTGGCAGTGACATTATCTCCCCGAAACCAGAGGAGTGCTGGGCACAGCAACACGTGGGCAGCCTGGCCTGTGGAGCACAGATGGGAGTGTGCGTCAGGAGCCTCCCTATGGTTATTTAGATTTATGTTGCCAGCTCTCCTCTTGAAAGCTTCCCTAGCCCTAAGCTGACTCCAGAGCCAGCCAGGTCCCCTGGCAGACACCCTGCAGGCCCAGCAGCCAGCTCCCTAAATCCTTCCTTCCCCACAGACTAAACTTTGTGGGGTAATTCAGTACAAGGAACGAGTCAGCGAGCCCAACCCATGACACAATGTTATCCCACCAAGAAAAGACAGACGGGAGAGGAGCCCTTCCCAGCCCGTGACAGTCACCTGGCAAGGGTGGCTGTCCCTCAAAAGGACAAAGGTTTCAGGGTGATGTGTGCCCCATCCTTGGGGTGTCACCTGCCACGCACACCTGATGCTTTTGAGAAATATCCTGCTACCACATATCCCAGACACACAGAGCGGGTTCAAAGAGCTCAGTGACAGTCAGAAAACGCAGGAGACAGCAGGATCTGAGGGAAAGCACACGTTGTACCTGCCATCAGTGATGCCCATGAGTTCAGCCTCACCCAAAAGGGACCACCAGCACCAGAGTCCTTGCAGCCCCGCACACACCAACCTCAGCTCCCCCTGCCCAGCCCACGGAACCCCCAAACTGCAGCCCCAGGATCAATTCCCCAGCAGAGCCCCCCTGGAGGAGCCAGCACTGTCCCAGGCAATGAACCCAGCTCAGCACTGAGCTCACCTCTCTCCACCCCCACTCCACCCCTCTCCTTCCCTGAAGGGATCTGTCAAGTCTCTGCACGATGGAATTTCACTTTGCTATTTTAATGCAATTCTGGCTCGGGCTTAAATGGAACTGGAAACCAAAAGGCCTTAATAAATAAATATTATGATAAGAAATGAAAGCAATGCATACACTCAAGATAATTTGAGGGGGGATAAAAACCTAAGCATTCCTTTCTGTGCCTAAATCATAAAGCTTTATGTGAAGCTGGACGCCTTCTCACCAAACCTTTGCCCTGGAAAAATCTCTCCTGCTTGCCCAGGCTGCCCTCCGGAGAAGTCGCCCATTGTTTTAGAAACACTTTGAGCCAGATAAGACAATAGCCTTGAAATTCCTTCTAACTTTGTCGGTGACAGGGCTGGGGCGACCATGCGCGTGGCTGGAATCCTCCTACAAGAGATCTTTCATTATAGCCTGCGCTCCGAGATTTCATTCACACGCTGCTCAATCTCACCGTCCGCACAAACGCTGCAGCTGCCACAGCCACAGAAACCTCGCACGCCGTGCAAAGAAAAAGAGAAAAAAACCCCGGCAGATTGTCCAGATAGTGGTGAATGAAGGAGAAAACCCCCTTTGAGGCAGCCAACGGGACCATGTATAGGGCTGTGTGTGCTCCGCGCGCTCCCGCGCGTCTATAGAAAAAATCCGAGCTAAATATAGAGGTGCTATAGAAAAGGGAAGGTATAGATAGACCATACATAAAGCTCCGTGTGTACGTCTGGGAAGGGGAGGCTCTGCCTCAGTACGGGAGCTGGGAAACAGAAAAGCCCGAAGTTGATAAGGATGGGACATACCTCTCCTTCCACGAGATAGGGAAAGAGCTCCCTTCATTTTCAGGCTTAGCTGTGCTCAGCTACCTGAACTTTCCTGCTGCCCAGCATCTGAGGTTCCCCCGTGCCCCATGTGCAGTCCCCGAGCACAGATGCAGCCTCCGGGCTCTGCCATCCCTGCCCTCCAGCCCAGCCCACCCTGCTGCCCCATCTCCCAGACACAAAACCAGCAGAGCCCCCCAAGCCTCTCCAAACAGCCACATTTTGCCTGTGATGGATGCAGACTTGTTCGCCCACCCTAATTTTCTGCCCCTGCACCCCCTGCCTTGAGATAAAGAGTCCAAACCCAAAGAACTAAAGTCTAAGGAACGCAACTCATTAAAGAGTTCACAAACCCAAGCCCAGTTCCAAGGCAGTAGGCAAGAATATCTGCAAGCGACATTTAAAATCCCCTCCACTGTTTGTTGTTGCTGCTGCTGCCTTCTCCAGGCTGCACTCAAACCCCAGCTCTAACGAGGAGATCCGGCTGCCCAATCCACACATCAAACAGCAAACCTTCGAGCAGGGAAGATTTTCTCTTACCTTGACTGGCTTTATTCGCCAGCGTGCTTCCAGAGTGGAGGAGAAAGAAAAGGATGGAAAATCCAGCAATCTGCAAAGCTCCCATGGCAATCCCAGTCTGCAGGGAGGAGCGGGGGCAAGAAGGGGGATTTCTAGTGCTTTAAAGGAAACAAGGGGCTGAGCATGCGAAGGGAAATCAAAGGGAGGAAGGGGCTCTCTCCTTGCCGTGTGTGAGACAGAGGGAGGGAAGGGAGCTGAACTGATGGAAAAAGCTGCTCTGGGTTCAGTTTGGGGCTCTTGGTGCTGCTGAAGAGGAGAGAGCGAGGGAGGGAGACCCAGGGCAGTTGGAGGAAAGTGGACTCTATCGCCCTCTCTCTGGCGGCTGCTCTGATCCCTTCTCCTCCTTTTTTTTTTTTTTTTCCCCTTAAATAATCCCAGCCAATTCCAGTTTTGCAAGAGCAGCAGCAGCAGCAGCAGGAGCAGGAGCAGCAGTGCTGGAGGGGGGAAGCAGGCGCCTTGCCCTGGTGCTGGGGACCTGGGAAAGGGGAGTGGAAAGGAGAGCCCCATCCAAGCAACGCCCTTTTTCTCTCTCCCAGCCTTTCTTTCTTTCTTTCTATTTGGCTTTGGTTACTCCTTCACGGCTCCCCCCCTCGCACCCCCAAGGCTGGGCTTTGCCTGCAGGAATTTACAGTCTGCGCTGGAGGAGAAGGGCCAGTAGCCATGGAGACTGCTTCCCTGGGAGCAGGGAGGTCAGGCGGAGACCATGGGCGATCAATGCATCAATGCAAAGCCCCCCGCAACCCCCAGACCCAGCCCGCACCTCGCAGCCCCTCGGCCAGCCCAGGGCTTGGCGTGGTGGCAAGGGGAGGGGGGCCAGGGGGAGGTGTCTGCCGTGGGAAAAGGCAAGGGGTGGGAAAGAAAAGGACAAGGGGGAAAAAAAAAATTAGATATAATAAAAAACCCCGAGAGTTTGCAGATGGCACGACCCGGCTGGGCTTGGTGGCTTTTGGAGAGTCTCGGGGTGCTGGGCAGGGGGAAACAGGGCCAGAGAGCTGCTCTGCTGGCTGCCCTGGGAGGTGGGAGGAGGACTGGGAATAAGGGTGGAGGGGGAAGAAAAAGACCTTTCTGAAATGTTCAGGGATTTTTTGTTTGCTTGCAGGACATTCCACAGCCCGGCCCCCGGAGCAGGGGCACCCCAGGGAGGAGGGGGACCCTGCCCCATCCTGTGACCATCCTGGTGCTGGGAGCTGCTGGCACCATCTCCCTTCTGGGTGTTCCTGCTCCCTGAGCCAGGAGAGGCACTGCCAGCCAGGAAACTGCAGCGGGAGATGGAGGCTGGAGCCAGGAGCGGGATGGGGAGGAAGGTGTGCAGTGATTCCACCTGTCCAGGGACAGGGCTCTGACAGCCCCAGTGGTCATTGTGCCCATGGGCCCCCTGCCCGCCCACTGTGCTGCCCCTACACCCTCCCCGACCCCCTTTTGTCCCAATATCCCCTAAAGATACGACAAAGGCAGTGGGAAATGTCCAGCTAAGCCAAGCACCCACAGCACAGAGGAGGGACTGCAGCTGGATAGGAGAATGCTGAGGGTCCCTGGGTCTTTCCCTACCAAGTCACCCCCTCCCTGGGCTGCCCTCATGGCACAGGGACCTTCCCTTGGGGATGGGGTTTGCAGGAGCACACCAGTGACCCGAACCCATCCCTGGCACAGCCAGGCTCCACGGCAGCTGGTAAGGGGCAGAGGTGCACGAATGATCCTTAAAGCTGTAAAAAAATGTTGTACATAAAAATATGAATGTGGAGGTGTTGTCCTTAAGATGTGCTGGGAGAGGACCGTGCCCCACCAGTGGGTATGTGCCATCCCACTGGGCACTGCTGCTGGGGGAAGCCAGCTCCAGTCTGTGCCAGCAGCTCCTGGGTACAAGAGCTCCTCCCCTGAGGTGTGGAATGGCACAAGGCTCTGGGCATCTTCACATCCTGATCTGAAGGCATCACCAGTGGGGTGCCACCACCCTCCTGTGAGTGTCACATCAGCAGCTGTGGCACTGCTTTTCTTTCTGGGCTGGAATTTGCTGCAGAAACATAAGTTCCTTATGGCAGAGACTCCTAAGAGCAGAGTTAAAATGGAAACTCTGCTCTGGGTAATGCTGGCAGATCTCTGTGCCCAGCCTCCGCACCTCGCACCCCGTCCTGTGATCCTTTATCATCATAACCAGAGGAAAACTAAACAGCCCTCCTTGTTTCCCCTCTAACCTATCTTCTAAATCTGGAGACCGATCTCACGGCACGAGGGACAAGACCTTCAGCAATGTTGATTTATAACTGAGCTTCTAAATTGCAGGTTTACGCATTAGTATAAACACCCATAAACCAGCCTTAAATACACAGGGCCGTGTGTAATTAAAACGCCAAAACACCGAGCAGCCACGTGAGAGCACGGGGGAAATGAACAAACTCCTCAAACTCCTCACTCGTGCCCAGACTGCCTCGCTGGGGACACAACTCTGGCCAAGCACTCCCAGTTAACCCAGTGCCTTGCTGGGAGGGGGGTCATGGCACAGGAGCCAAGGGGCTGACCCCCATGTCTCGCTCCTCCAACGGGGTTATGAAGCACCACAGCGAAGCAGTGGGGTTGGAGTGTACTGCTGATGTCCAGGAATTCCCAAAAAAACTATTAAATCTTCCCAAAGCATTGCTGAGTCCAGCAATTGATGCTGCCCGGCGGAGTGGCCAAAGGGGCAGAGGTGGTGCCAGGGCTGTGCGTGCTTTGGTGCCCCTCCAAGCACAGGGGAAAGCCGGGCAGATGGGGATTCCTGACATCACCCAGGGAGGGCCACGAGTCACACTGACATCACCTGCAGGGCAGCCCAGCGCTTTGGCCCGCAGGGCTGGCAAGGATCCGTGCCCAGGAGCTGATTCCAAACCCTTCACAGGCATCGCCAGCCCGAGCCCTGTGTGTGTGTGTGTGTGTGTGTGTGGTGGGGAAGGAGGTGGCAGCACTCTCCTCCCCGCTGCCTCCACTCCCCGTTGTGCACTTCTGGGCAAAATCCATTTGCTTTGGCTTCATGTAGGGCCAGAAGATTCGGCCCATTGTGCTGCGGCGCTGAAGAGCCGGCAAGGAATTGTCAGCCATGCTGAAACGGTTACATGGGGAGTCATGAAAATTTACTGCACCACTCTCCGGTCCCTCGCCAAGAAATAAAAGCAAAAGATCACAACAGGCATTTTTTTAATTTGAAGCAAAATTAAAAAAAGAACGGATCTGCGCTCAGAAAACAACAACCACATCCACAGATCAAAGCAGCTGTTCTCCTCTCATTCGGGGTTTTAAGAGGTTTCTGCAGCTACAGAGATGTTTACACAGGGAGAGATACATACATTGTGCTGTCTTGATGCTGCCTCTCCCCCCTTCATCTGGCAAAACATTCCCTGGGAGGCGATATGAGGTCATTCCTAGCCCCTGCCTTGTTTTCCTCAAGCTGCAAGGCTGCGGGGCAAGAGGCAATTCAGTTCCCATTAGCGCGCACACACATTTGCGCTTGGAACCCTCCCATGTACATTTTGCCTGGGGGGAGCTCGGGATGGACGGGGAACCCGCTTGTTCCCAGAGGGAATTCCAGCAGCCCAACTGGATGGACGGGGAACCCGCTTGTTCCCAGAGGGAATCCCAGCAGCCCAGCTGCCCTGAGGGCCAGCGGCTTTGGCCAAGCCCCTGGGAAGGGACACGGAGCCGGCAGCTGGGCTGGCACCTTCTGCAGACCAGCATCTTCTGCAGAGCAGCCGTAATGGTTCTGTGGCTTCCACCGCTTTTACGACGAGAGGGGCTGACCGGCTCTGGGGAGCACTAATGGGCTGTAAAAGGCTCCTTCCCCTCTGCCTCCTTGGCTCCAGCCCAATTCCAGCGGCACTGAGCCCCTCTCCGGTGCCTGCGCAGGGACGGGGCCGTGGGAACGCGCCGGGGCAGCTCTGCGGGCACCTCCTGGCATCGGCACCTCGCTCCTGCTGCTCCGTGGGCAGCGCCCGCTCTGGCACGCAGAGGGGCTCTGGCTGTGAGCCAGCCTGCACTGTCTGTGCAACCCTCCGAGGGGATCCTCCCCACCTCTAGCACGGATTTAATGCCATGTGCTAGGAACGAGCCGCATCTTCAGCTGCGTGTGCTCGTGTGACGCCGAGCCAAAGCAGCTTCTGAGGCTGCACAAGAAGCTGCTGAGAAGCAAAAGTCCCCGAGGCCCTCAGGGCTTGCAGAAGCAGCTATTGAACCAGGCAGGGATGCTGCAGGCAGAAGAGTGAACCAGATTTCCCTTTCCCCCCTGTCCATGAGAATCAGAATGCTGCCAGTCCAGGGCAGGACCCCCTCACCTCTGCTGGACCCAGCAGTTGGGGGGATGGATGCTGGCACTGCATCCCCACCCTGAACGCTGGAAGGTGCTGGCTCGAGAAAACAGCAGCCCAGACATTTCAATGCCCCAGCGAGGGCTGTGGTCTACAACTTGGAACAGAATAGACTATTTTTAAAAGCCGAGAGGAAAACACAGCATTCCCAGTAACACGCCAACAGCCCAGGCTCACGCGGCTCAGCCGGTCCCCAGCACTCGTCCCTCATTTCCCCAGCCTACAGCTTGATCCAGATGCCTCCAAGGTGGGTAAAAAAGCACCAGGTCTCTCTAAATGACTGCCTGGCACCCTGTGACACCTTTTTTCCAGAGTCATGGGGCTTCCCAAAACGCTGCCTGCGAAAGGCCTTGTTTGTAATTCCCCGTTTGCAGCAGGAGAAGGTGACACACGCTGAGGTGAAGTGACTTACCCCGGCGTCACCGGCAAGGCCGATGGCAACGCCAGGAATAGCCCCGTTCCCAGTTAACCACTAACCACACTTATCCCAGAATAAGGGTCCCTTTTTCCAGCTGAATTTATAACAGCTTTCCAAGTGACATAAGGGCTTACAGAAATAGGCAGGCTTTTATTCCAGAATAATTACTGGGAGATTGGACTGGAGCGTGTATAATTACACTGCCGGTGAGTCGGACCCTGTGCCACTGGAACACAGCTTTTATCTCATCCTACTTTTCCACGAGCACATGTACGTCAGCTGGGAGATCGTCAGGATGTGGGTGGAGAAGGAAGGGGCTTTGGGAAGAAAGGAAAGTGATGTATCACTCCCCACAGCTCTGTTAATCACATTTCCCACAGAAGATGATAAAAGGTCTTCGGCTACTGAAGTCAAAAGGAGTCTTTGGGGGTGTGCTGGGTCACACCACAGATGGACTCAGCAACACTCAGTGCATCTGCTTTGAGTCAGACACAGCTTTGGAGCAGGTGGGGTTTGTAAAATACATTTTATGTCCCACACTGGTAAAATCAAGCTCAGAGTCCAGGTCGAGGCCTGAACACATTTCTGACAAAAGCTGTGGGAGCACATCGCAGGAAAACATCCTTTGAAAGAAACCCCATCATTTATCAGGTGCTGATGTGTCTGTGCATTGGCAAGAACGGTGACTCAAAGAACGGGGCTGTGGTGGGCTGGGGGGCTCTG